CTCTACGTCGTCGTTACGTCGTCGCGTTACTACTATATATATATATATATATATATATATATATATATATATATATATATATATATAACTAAGACCACTATATATATATATATAACTAAGCCCACTATATATATATATATAACTAAGCCCACTGCTGCCGCCGGGCCCATTCCTTGGCACATTCACATACTCTGTATGCGCGCACACGGGTGTATATTCTCATGTGATGCTTATTTGGCCGTACAAAGTTTTCAGAGCTGAAAATGTGTTATCAGAATTAAGTGATTGTAGATTGACATTGCTGTGCTCAAGTAACTATCAACCGAGATCGTACGTACCTAGGCTGGTTTACACACATAGGTTTACAAGCGCGGCGAGCGTAGTACTATACAAGCTCACGCACTACACCACAGATGGTGCATACATCCACCGACGGTAAACTCTGGAGGCTTCAGTGGAAGATAAAACAAACCTTCACTGTGTTCTACAGCACAGGCCTTAGTATAGCGAAGTGGTACGAACGAACAACACTGAAACCGATATGAACCCTAAAACCCTAAACTATAATACCTGGGAGCTGTGGGTACACCTTCTGCGAGAGGCCCAGCAGTGTTTGGGTTGGCCGCAGGGGCGCCCCTGACACTTGCGGTCTCTGCCACCATTGTATCGATGGTATCCACGAGTATCCGGCGGAAATCCTTCTCGTCGCCTGGGGGAAGGTGTTCTGCCTCTGCATGGGAGTTGGGTAGGTAAAATGATAGATATGAAAACCATTCCATGCCATAAACCTGGTTTGTCTATATTGTTCGGAAGACACCCACTAGCATTGGTGGTGGTGCAGGCGCGCCACCTGGGAATTGCCAATCTATCTGCACCGGCGAACAATGCACGGACAGGCCACAGTGACATACATCACACACGCTGGCGGAATACTGCCCAGATATATATCTACCGGCGAATTGTGTACGGCCTAAATAGAAGTTCGGAGCCATGGACCACTGCACACGGCTGTGTATGAGTTGCTAATGCGCAGGCATCGACGAACTCGGCACTCCCAATTCACAACTGCAGGGATTATATACGCATAAATGATCCCCACGCATGTACATGTATTGTCATAGTTGACTTATACACATACACACACACACACACACACACACACACACACACGCATGTACATACATACATACATATATATATAGCGCTCCATAAAGTTCAGTATCACATCCTGTCCAACACGCGTGCACGTTCACTACCAACCTATAGGTACCCCGGGGTCGGTGGTTGCTGGCTCTTGTGGTGAGACTTGCGCATGCGAACCAGACGCCGCTACATCGCCGGCTATGGATGCGGCACCTTTGACCTGCGAGTGCGAGTACTATATTAGGTGTCCGTAGAAACATGCTATGCGAGGGACATGGCTTCGATAGTGCTCCGCTGTAGGTACAAACAACCGCCTCGATACCGAAACGCCACGCAAGGGATTTACAGTATCAACAGACTTCGTCCAGTAGCCAACGGAATTGAAATTGAGTCAACACCTGTACGTCTACAGTCACATCCTAACGAGGATGTGCAGCTATCGATTGTGGTGTTGTTTTGTGGGCAGAAGTTCCCGTAGTCCAGAACAAGGCTAGCCACGGCCTTGGTCCCAAGGAAACAACATAAACAGGTTTGATCTAATACGCGATACTTGCGAGGCTGCCAAGTACTATTTGAGCACACCACAGCACACCACACAACACCACAGCACACCACACAACACGGCAGTAGGCACGACAATGAGTGCGTTTGTGCATAGAAGTACAAGCTGTTGGCCCTCTAGAGATGCCATGACAACCCCTGGGATAGACATAGCTCTAGGTTTTAGGGTTCCTGACTCTATATGTGGCCTGCTAGCGAGCAGCGCTCAGTCCTCTCTACCATTGGCCATTGATAATTAGTACAGACCAGTTAAAACTACAAGTATTTCTAACGGGAATAGGTACGCAAATGAAGGTAACGCCTTAATCTGGTCTAGGACCCCCCTCTCACAATACTCGTTTGGGCGAGAGAGACACTGGCAGGATGGGTGGCAGCGAGGGCCATGTGATAGCGTTAATACGTTCCGTTGCGCACAGCACAGCAGCAACACATCGCTCGACCGCTTTAACGCACACTTAAACAGCTGCATACTGTGGCTATGTACGTTGACAGGCGAGAGCCCCCCCTCCCCCCTGACATTTACGTTTCTACTACTAGAGACTTAACTTTCCCGAGCGTAGTACTGCAGCTGGCCGGGCTCTGCGGCGACGCTATGAAGATATGTAAACGTGCCACTAGCACAAGGCAGGGACATGATTAAGCTATAGACATACAACTGGAGACAGATAGGCGCTGTGTTTCCCATTGACTATGCATATGCGGGTCACGTTGAACGGTATGCGACAACGCAAACACTATACACAAGGCACAACACACTGAAACACAGCACTGCAGAGCTATAGCATATATACGCACAGCTGGCTACACCCAGGCCTAACATTGTACGACAACGCGAGCCACTGATACTATAAAGGTAGTGGAACTAAGAGCAAAATCGTGACGAATGTTCGCATTAAAGACATACAAGTCACAGTACGCAACACGCGGCAACGCCATACTCTCCAAGCAACACAACTCACAACATGGCCAATACACACATCCAACCGCACGTGCAAACACATACTGTCTTGTGGATAGTACGGATAGCAACGCAGGCACAAACCTGGGTGGGGGTGGACTCCGGGGTCACATTGAGTGACATGCGCAACAGGCTCTTTTGCAGTCGTTCGGCTTCTTGTCTGTCGGGAAGTCTCAGCGGCGGCGGTGGTTTGGGCATTCGGGGGATCAGCCCAATCTCAGTCAGCGCATCGGCCACTAGGCGCTTGGCCCGCTCTTTCAGCGACGTGTAGGTGCGTGCGCGCGTGCTGCTGGGGTTGGGTTTTGGGGTTGGGTTTAGGGATAGGGATGCAAGGGCGTGTGCACAGGTGATATAACACTCAAGCATGTGCACAGCGGGGCGAATTAGGAATATATACACTTTGCTGAGGACAGAATATACGTTACACTCCAGAGTACCAAACGCGTGCCGCGCTCTTTCAGCGACGTGTAGGTGCATACGCTTGTTCATGTTCATTTATAAGTTCTGTTTCTATTCTTTATCTGGATGGTCATGGTTTTTTTCATAGGTTTTGTTGAAAATGTAACACTCGCGTACGTGCGCCCCCCTGGGGTTGGGGTTAGGGTACGAGTGCCTATGTATCGGGGAAGACGCAGGGCATACCGCACTCAGATTACTGTCTGTCGGTTGGGTTTTTCCTAATTTTTATAAAAGTATATATACATAGAAAAATGGATACAGAAGCGAATATATAATAAGAAATAGAAGTATATAAAATGAATACATATGTATATATGCAAACACACACAGACGCACAAACACATACGCACACATATATACAAGTATATACAAGTATATATAAATATATATATATATATATATTAAATATATATATACCAATGAATGCATTTATATAAATAAATCGATATATATATAAATATATATATATATATATATATATATATATATATATATATATATATATATACATATATATATATTTGAATAAGCACACACACATACAAACACACACACACACACACATATATATATATATCTGAATAAGCACACACACACACAAACACAAA